GAAGAGGAGCTGCTGAAGTTGTAACATCGCTACGCACCTCCTCTACCCAAACCGGCAAAATTATTTTTTATGTATCTTCCTCTAGTTTCGTAAAATAACTGTGGTTACCGGCACTCTGCTTACGAAGTTTACAAAATTTACGTAACGTTATGGACAGACTGGGAGCGGTGTTTGTGAAAACAAAGCAAAATAACAGCTACTAAAGTTGTAATATCACTACACACCACCTCTATCCAAGCCAGCTCAATCTATTTTTTGTGTCTTCCTCTGGATTCATAAAATAATCATGGTCACCTGAGCTGTGCTTACGAAGTTTACGTAATTTACGAAAAGTTACAGACATTTCAGGAGTGGAGTTTGTGAAAATGACACAAAATAACAGCTTCTAAAGCTGTAACATCGCTACGCGCTTCCTCTACCCAAGCCGGCAAAATAAATTTTTTTATATCTTCCTCTAGTTTCGTAAAATAACTGTAGTTACCCGCACTCTGCTTACGAAGTTTACAAAATTTACGTAACGTTATGGACAGACTGAGAGCAGTGTTTGTGAAAACAACGCAAAATAACAACTACTAAAGTTGTAATATCGCTACTGACACCTCTATCCAAGCCAGCTCAATTTATTTTTTGTTTCTTCCTTTGGATTCATAAAATAACTGTGGTCACCCAAGCTTTGCTTACGAAGTTTACCAAATTTACGTAAAGTTATGGACAGACCGGGAGCATCGCTACGCACCTCCTCTATCCAAGCCAGCTCAATTTATTTTTTGTGTGTCTTCCTCTGGATTCATAAAATAATCGTGGTCACCCGAGCTGTGTTTACGAAGTATAGATAGATAGATAGATAGATAGATAGATAGATAGATAGATAGATAGATAGATAGATAGATAGATAGATAGATAGATAGATAGATAGATAAACTTTATTGTCTGTCCTAAAGGTGACAGAAAATTGTCTTTGACAGGGCTCCATGTTAAAAACATGCATTCAAAAATAAGTTAAAAAAGTTTACGTAAAGTTACGGACATTTCAGAAACTAAGTTTGTGAAAATGACACAAAATAACAGCTACTAAAGTTGAAACATCGCTACACACCTCTTCTATCCAAGCCAGCTGAATTTGTTTTTTGTGTGTCTTCCTCTGGATTCATAAAATAATCGTGGTCACCCCAGCTGTGCTTACAAAGTTTACGTAATTTACGTCAAGTTACGGAGATTTCAGGAGTGGAGTTTGTGAAAATGACACAAAATAACAGCTACTAAAGTTGTAACATCGCTACTGACACCTCTATCCAAGCCGGTGTAGTTTAATTCATTGTGTCTTCCTCTGGATTCATAAAATAATCGTTGTCACCCGCACACTGGTTACAAAGTTGACTAAATTTACAATCTTAAAAAAAATTGTCATCAAACCCAAACCCGAGGTTCGGCACCGTGCCCTGAGGCGTCGGAAGGAGGAGCGAGTTGAAGAGAGACGCTGAAGAAAACCAACAAAATGAAAATTATTGAGCTGATTTAAATTTATCGTGCGACAGGCCTAATTGTGTTCTCATCTACAACTGACGAACTTTTAGTCAGCCCAGTTCAAGATGGCCGCCACAGTTCACTGATTTTAGAAAACACAGTCGCTATAAAATGTTGGTTCTATAGGATAAAATAAAACTTTAATGACCGCCATAGTGTAACTTTTGAAGCTGCAGCTTTGGTCCTGAGCAGGTTGGCGTCGCTCGCTGTGGCGCCCCCTGCAGGAGGGAGGCGTTGAGAGAGGAAAACACGACGCTGTCGCTCGTGCTTTTTATTTTGTTTTCCTGAACTTCAGCGAGTTCACAGCAGTTTGTAGAATCCGTCTGAGGCAGCGTGACCCGGTTTCACCAGGTGAAGAAGTCGGATTCTGTCTGAAGCCGGGCAGCTTTGAAAATATTCCTGCTAAAAGACACGCTGAGTTCAGGTTGTGCCCAAAATGTTTGTAGGAGATGATGTAGCTGGAGGCATAAATAACATTTTTGGGAGTTTATTTCCAAACAGAAGCCTAATGAAGTTCAGGAAAACTTCACACTTTTGTGATTTAAAGAGCAAATAAGTCGAGTAATTTAATACGTGGAGTTTACATTAATTCATCCAACTGTTTCGATGCTCTAAATGTAAAGGAAAAAAACTGTACGTAGGCTCAAAGATATTAATGAAACATTAAATATGAAAATGTTTCTCTACAATCAGATCCGTGTTTCAACATGCAACTGATAAAATGTTCTGAAGCCTAGTGTTTGTGTTTCGCTCGTGTCGTAATCTCATGTTAAATGGTTGAAAATGGAACAAAATTCCTTAATCTGTTTTGAAATCCCAGATGGTGTTCAAGCTACGCCAAGTTTTTTTTTTTTCTCCACAGTGTTCCCACTTGGGGTGACCGCCTCCCGGCAGCAACCTGCAGTGTCACAGTCCCAACCTGTACTTTACTCCTTATTTTGTTGTAAACTTCATTTAATCACTTGTCTGTTAAGCTTTTGGTTTTTATACGCCACTTTGTTAGACTTTTTTATTTTTAGTCGCTCTTCTGAAAAGAACTTACAGGGAGTAGAAATAAAAGATGAAGAAAACTTCATACTGCTACGTTTCTTTTTAACTTTTTTAGCCATTTTGAAGGTGTATTCTCTATAAATATAACTTGAGTTGCACATTTCACTGTTTTAAACAACTCATGAAAAGTTTAGCGACATCTACGTTGAAGACAATTTAAAAAATCAACTGGAACCCTCTTTTAGGCGTGTACACACTGTAATGCTAACAAATTGATAAAATATCTAAATTAATTTACTGGAAAAATAATTTTCAGTAGTTGTCTAAAACGTCATATGACAAACGTTTAAACTTGAACACAATAATAAACACAGAAAAGTTTTTTTTAAACCTAAGCATTGGTTGTACACAGGATAGAAATATAAAAATCTGAGTGTTCTTAAGCTAAATTTTTTATTGATATTTGTTTTCCCCATTATTTTATTTAATTATTTATTTTTGACACATGCATTTTTCGTGCTATTTCAACCATTTATAAATCGAAACTTTCTTCAGGACATTCGAGTTGTAACA